CCTCAAGCACATTGCATTTACAGGATTGTGCTGTATGTATAGTACAGTTTTCACTGCATTTTATTTAAAATATTGATATGGCTGCATTTCTCCTGAGAACAGCAGGACTTGAGGCATTTTGTGTGAATTTGAAGCATATATCTTCTTCATCAGATTTGAAGGAGGTTACTGTAGCTGCTGTGATATGCTGGGCATGTGAGGGGGAGCTGTAAGCGTTTATTTGGAGTTCATTCTCCATTATTGAGTGCGTTCTCTAAATTAATAATTTCTTCTTGGTTCTGTGCTTTGTAACCATCATAGTATCAGCATAACAACCTATTTACTGTATCATTGCTAGGCAAAGTATCCATTTTTATATTAAAAAGCTGTAATCTTGTGATTTTTTTTTTAAAAAAAATATTCACTCCAAATGTTTGCACTTTGTGAAGTTTTTATGAAGGAATCACTTTTCCTGCGAATCGGTTCACCTTTCATGGGGAAAAAGATACTTCATATTTGTGAAGTTTCTAGAAGGCTTGAAAATCAGAAATGTTTGTGGAACCATTATAGAAATACTGATACTATTTTTCTAGTAGAAATAAAAATTGTATCATGCAACTACTAGTAGTTTGTTTTTATTAATTCACTTCATTAAGCTTACATTTTGACCTTAAAGGAAGATGTGCAGTTTTTTTGCTAGCTATTGGAAACTGCTTTTTCCTAAAGAAGTTTGAATATAAAGGGTTCTGTGACTTTTCTCAGATTATTTGTATTTGCCCACATATTTACTGTCTATTCCAAGTTCTGAATTAGATTGATACTACTTAATTAAACTGTTGAATTTTTTAAAAGTCTTACTACCAAAACTGTTTGAGATAGTATTGTGTTTAGACCTTTACATTTCCTACAACTTGTGAGCATAGCAGTTAAGCAAGGATAAGATAGAAGTTGCTCTTTGACAAGATTAGCTGTTTTCTTCTTCTAGAAGAAAAAAATATATTACAGTAACATTGGCTCATATGTTCAATGAAATTCACAAAGCCTGCTTTGCAAACACAACCAAGACCAAATGACATGCTGGGGAGGGAGATCCTTGGGTAGTGCTGAGGTTTTTCTCAGATTATATGTACCATCACATTACTGCTTCTCTGCATTATTGGATGCTGATTGCGGGGGCAGAAAAATGTCTAAAGAACGACATCTTGCTCCCCCACCTCCACTGCAACTTACTGGTGAGATGAATCAGTTCCCTCATAATACGTCGTTTGGGCCTCATTGTTTTTGAATGTATTCAAAATAGACAATACGTATATGTCAAAAATGGTGCTTTTTGACATTTTGAAATGTAGTCTAGTTCTCTTCAGTTCTCTTAGCTCCCTGAAGATGTCCTTTACTTGAATTTTTTTTGTCTTGTTGTGCTTGCTCCAGCTGAATTCAGTTGGATATTTGTCTGAAGAGAGAAGAACGAAAGACAATGATGGTCAACCTTCTTGGCAAATGTTTTGGTTAATGTCGGACTTGGATCTGGGAGACCCGGGTTCAGCTCCTCACTCTGCCATGGAAACTCACTGGGTGATCCAGTCACTCTCTCAACCTGACCCTATCTCACACGGTGGTTGTTCTCCACACCCCTGTTTTATCCTCACAGTAGTGTTGTACGCTGCTTTGGGTCCCCTTTAGGGAGAAAAGTGGGGTATAAATATACAAATAAAAAAGTGAATTCAAGTGACATTCTAAGCGCCCTCTGCATGTTTTGCTATATCAGGGGGGGGGGCCCACCGGTTTGGAATGGGGACACTACTTACCTGTTGTGCCAGGAAACACAGCACCACTATTCTAGAGAGGCCTGAAGGAGTATAGGCCTGAGACTGCACCACAGACCTATGAGCACTTTTCCCAGCCAGGCATGCTACAACTTCCTGTGGCAACAATGCTTCTTTTGACTACCCATGGTGTACTTTTTTAAAAAACGTGGTGCTCTATTGTTATCTTGATGTCTGCAAGTCCTTTTTGTTGTGTGTTACCCTCTATTAGGAAAATATCTGGCCAGTATACAATCAGGAACTGCATCTCATTTTTTTTAAAAAAAACCCCAATTTATTAATTTCTGTAGTGAACAATAACACAGAATATTAATCTTATTTTCCAACAATCTATTATATTATTCACCCCCAAAATTATTTATTAATACGAAGTGTTCTCAGACTAATCGACTAACTCCTGTTATACCTAATTACTAACCAAGAATTACTTATTCTGAATCCTATTATCTTTACTACCCGTTAAATATAGTTCCATTCAGTTTCCTAAGTTCTTTTTCCATGTCCACATTAGTTACTATACGTATATCTACATACTAACGTACATTGGACTTTCTTCAGTTTACTGTTTACTATTGCATCCAATTTACTTTATTCTTCAGAAAAAACCAACTTCACCTAAAAAAGAAAACCAAAAGGAGCCGCCTCTCATTCCTGCATCTCTGAGGATCATTTTTCTTGGGGAGTCAATCTTGTAGCCCTTTCCCCCGCCAGTTAACTGAGCCAGGAGACATACACATGCATCTCAGGCATGAAGCTCTTTCATTATATGGACAGTAGTGGGAAGTGTTCTGGTTGTAAAGGGGATCCCCCAGTGATCCTTGCTCCTGGTCATAGTGTCACAAAGTCCACGTGAGCGGAACACCCGTTTCTGCTCAGCTGTGCTGTTAGGTAATTTTTTAAAAGTAAACTTATGAGAATTGGGTGGGTGGGATTTGAAACTGCGTATTTTAACTGAACATATTGTTGTACGAGGCAGTGCTTTTAAAGGAACAATACTAGCCTGAGCCTAGTTGAAAGACATATTGAAGCATTAAGTGGCTCTATTCTATACAGTAACTGTTGTAGTGCTTCTCAATGCACAACTGTGAATGAAAGAATTGGAACATGAAAATGAAAGTGATGTGTACAAGGAAATTTGGGCCTAGGGGCCTTCTATTTCTTTCTTTGTCCCATCAAACTCACCATGGTATTTCTTAATAAAGAGTAGCTTCAGAGCTGCTAGCAATTTTAATAGTACACTGTAAAACAATGTATAGTGATATCATCTGTTCAGAGTGTTTTTGAAATGCAAAGTAACTTAAGAATATGGGCATGTCAATTTGTAAATAATTGGAGTTCAAAATGTAGGGCTAGCAAAAATGACCACTAAAACGTTCCTTACTAAATTCTACATCAGTCATGTTTACATGTTAATTAAACCAAAGTTGTAATTTGATAAGCTTCACTTAAATTTGTTGTTGAAGGCTTTCATGGCCAGAGTTTATTAGCCAATGTGATATTGACACAGAGAGTACTCCATCTTTCCTTGTTATACCTCTGAGGATGCCAGTCACAGCTGCTGGCAAAACGTCAGGTACTACAGTGCCAAGACCATGGCCATACAGCCTGGAAAATTTACAACAACTGATTCACTTAAATTACTTAGTATTCTGAAAAAAGTAAATTTAAAAGTAAGTTTCAGAATACCCTTTTAAAAATGTGGGTAGGAAACAGAAAATTGATGATATAAGAGTTTAAAAGAATGCTCCTGATCTTTAAGACGAAGATGGTGACTTCTGCTCATTCCACCCCTCTTACTGCAGCTCCTCAAAATGTTGTTCCCGGAGTATCAGCCGGCAGCCCTGGAGTATCAGTCAGCAGCCCCTCAGGAACAGCATAGTGGTGGTGGTGGTGGTGGTCTACAATGGGAGGGGAGAATTAATGGAAGACATAACTTCCTGTTGATAAAATTGAAGTGTCCTCAAGTTTTTGGTATTAAGTTAAATGCAGGCCTCTATTAATAATCATAATTCTAAAGCACTAAAATGGCTGCGTCCTGTACAACAAAATATGCTGTTTCTACAGACATACAATCAAATTGTAAAACAAGATTTATTGAAACAAATCAGAAGTATAAAGGAGAAGGAAAGCAATAGGGTAAATAGATGAACTGTAAGGAGAGGTGCTTAGCTAGCAAAGCAGAGAAAGTAAGTTGAATATCACATGGAAGAGTATTTCTATTAGTATGGAGTGGCAAGGGAAGATGAATGCAGGTGGGAAATAAAGGTAATCTTTGAGATCTAGAAACATAGAGCTGGAAGGGACTGCAAACATTATGTAGTCCAACCTGCACAGTGCAGGATATTCACAACTACCCCCCCCCCCCCAATGACCCCTGCTTAGAACAATGGGACTGAGAGTCTATCTTGCACACACAAAAAGAAGAGAAGATGTATGAGAGAAACACACCTGGAGGTACTGGGAATCAAGTACAAAAAAGCTTGAAGATAAGAAAAGGGAAACCAATGAAGAGACTGGTAAAAAGGACGTAACATAATTTGAAAGACGAGCAAAAAGCGAGTATCAGAACTTAAGACAGTGAAGAAATTGTGTCTCCCTGGATACACAGAAGTAGTAAGGAATAACAGAAGGTGACAGAAGTAGTAAGGAATAACTTTCCAGCTTTGGAAGGTTTGCCAGCTGCAGCAATGTCTGCACAAAGCTGACCAGTCTGCTTTCATAAATGCTTTGGTAGTATCCAGATCAGACACACTAAATGGTCTGGAAACATTATGTAGTTCAGAACACTTCAGCCACCATGCCCAGTGGGTCTTGCTGAAATGAATTTTATATCAATTATACTGGCTTCCAGTGTGCTTTTGGTTCATCTCAAACTAGCCCTGGTGGAAACCTTGTCAGAGGTCTTCTCAGCAGTTGCTCCTAGATTGGAATTCTCTCCCCCAGGAACTCTTTTCCATTCATGGTAGTGTTAGTTTTAAATTGTATTTATTTTGGTAGGAATTTTTCTAAATAAAGTAAAATAGACAGTGACTATGATCGGCACATTCTGATATGAACTGCTAAAAATCCAAACCAAATCTTCCCTTTAATGTGTTTGTCTGATCACTAAAAACAGCAACAGCTATTGATACATGCGGTTGATCATTGTTTTGACATCTTACTGTTTGCCTTTCACAGTTGCACAAGGTGAGGGGAGCTGGAGAGCCAGCAAGGGGCTAGAGTAACTCAGCAAACAAATCTGACAGTGTTGCCTTCCAACCAGAAGAGTTAGCTGATGTTCCCACTGAAGAAGATAATTTTCCAGTAGGTGCTTCTCTGTAATACTGTTTTCACTTTCTGTGAACAAATGCTTTGTCTGCTGCTGGTCCAAGCAAGGGGATTTTTAAATTCTATGTCCACATCAGACCCTCCTTGCCCTTCTGTTCCATGAGCATTCTGGTGCTGTATTTTAATGTCTGCTGGAGTTAAAAAAATTTCCTTGCACTCTGAAGGCAGAGAGAGGTAGAAACTACATCTTCCCCCCCAGTAGGCAGTGTGCTTGCAGGTAAGAAAGGCAAATGTGTTGCTTATAACCTCTGGAAGGCAATCATGCCATCGTAGAGCTGACTGATGGGCACAAGTTATGTGATGGGGAAGAGATTCGAAATCAGTTCTTCAATTTCATATGCAAATACTCATCATTATATCCTTCCACATTTTCCTCCAGCTGATGTCAGCTCTGTTAAGGGGAAAAGGCAGGCACCTGTTCACATTTAAAGAAAGACTGGTTCAGTTTTTAACAAAGCTTAAATGTACAGATGAGACGAGCAAGGTTTAGCTCTGTCACTAGGGGGTACTGGAATAAGGATGGGAAAATATCAGAGTTGCCATGCTATGCTCTGTGACAAGTTTCAACTATATATAAAACTGAGACATGTTCTCCTATCTTCCTGCAAGATTCATCCCAATTTGGTGGGGGGAAAGCTGCAGTTGGAAATGTATTTTCCATAGAAACCAAAGCCAAATGTGATAACCCATAATAAACCCATATCTTTAATACTGATGATAAGGAATTCAAATCTAGTTGTTTCAAAATAAAGCAATTTGGAAAAGAGAGTCTGTGCACAACTCTTAAAAACAGAAGGCTTGGCAAGAGACTGCAATCAAAAGAATGACAAACTACAAATTCTGAAATGAGAAGGGGAAAAAAGCAATGAGGGAGGTTTTTGGAAAAAAGCAGGAGCAGAAAGAAAATCCAGCCATTCAGTTTTTGCTTATTTATATTAGGAAAATGCTAATTCATTCAGTCTGAGACAAATTAGGTTAGAGAAGGGGGGGAGAGATCATGTCAAGAACAGTAAAACATAGGGCATCTTTGGAACTAAAGAACAAGGAAATTTCCCATGGGACCAAGAAGGAAGACTTTAAGAGGGAAGAGAAGAGGATCTCATTTTGATCTTTGAGGAATTGCTACAGAAATAGGGAAAAGATTAAATATACCATTTAATACCAAAGTTTTTTTCGGTTACCGAATGATTCATTCTGTCTTCAAGCAGCAAATACTTGTATTTTTGTTTCCTAAAAAAATCACGCGTCTGGGTATGCAGGTAGCTGCTTCAGATGAAGAAGGAAATTTCTAAACAGTTTTTAGGATCCTGAGGAGGGGAGAGGGTGGTGGTAGATATGTATGTACAAGATATTGCTCTGTTAAACTGTTTTCATAGGATGGGGAGGGAGATACATTAGCTTGCCCTGAACACTGGTCTTTTGCATCTGGAACCACTTCTTGCCCAGTAGAACTTTCACAGTTCCTCAGTGGCTTTTTACAGTATCAATATGCATGAGGTATACAGGGTTTTTTTTGTCAAGTTGCAGCTGGGGTTTTGAAGGCAAGAGACATTCAGAGGTGGTTTGCCATTGGCTGCCTCTCTGTTGAAAAAAAAACTGGGAAAAAAGGGGGAGAAGGGAAAAACTCAACCCAAGATAACACTGGGAACCAGAAGGGTTAAGCTGACCATATATATTATAAAAATACAAAATTTATTAAGGTGTACACATATTAAAATATGTTCGGGTTAAAAATTTTTTCAAGTATCAGACTAATAAAAGCATATCAATTATTAATACACATGATGGGTTAACACTTTCCAACTGAAGACCAAACGCGTTTCGGCCTCAAAGGGCCTTCCTCAGTGGTCACTATACAACATAGTATAGACACACATTCAAACATATGTATACTTATTTAAAGACCAGATGTTGTATCCTTATATGTTTGCAATTGTGTTGCTGGTATTAATGATGGGCCCTAGGTATGGCCATATTCATTCCAATTATTCTGGTACTAAGATTTCAAAAGTCTGAATGTGTGTCATTCCATCAAGGGCTGACTCTACTTAGCTTCTGAGATCTGGCAAGATTGGGCTAGCCTGGGCTATCCAAGTCAGGGCACAGCAGATTTAGTCAGATGTAATTCACGTTCAAGTCACAGGCCAACAAGCGATGAATGTCGTATAACTATTGATCTTCCTCAGTCAAAGCTAGATTGTGTCACTATTGTACAGAGAACCAGGCTATTTTGTTACTCTTCCCAGTCTAAAGCAAAACATTTGTTAATGTGCAAAGTGCCTGTTAGTTAAAAGGTGTTGTAAATGACACCAGGATGAACAAATGGCAGGTTTTGTGTATCCCCGTTATAGCCTTGTTTTTCTTGTTTTGGGCCCAGAAGGATACTGTGTAGGTGTGTCAGACTTTGACAGGTTCTCTGAAAATGTGAACAGAGTGACAAACCTGTTGTACTTTTTAGGTTTCTTGAAGAAAGGCAGGAAATTTGCTTTAGCTGCCTAGATTTGTAAAATGGAACTAATGAAGATGGGGTATTCCTTACTTGCCAGATTTGTTCCCTTTTTTTGTAAAATAAACTGTTTCAATCGAAAAGGGAATACAATCAACAGACTATAACTCTCTTTCAGCAAGACTTTTGACTTAATCCCACATGACATCATCCTAAATAAAGCTGAGAAATGTGGACTGGCAAGGACATAATGGGGATACACGGTTGCTTGAAAATACTGCACACAAAAGGTAATAATTTTAATAGATTGATAACAGACTGTGAATGGATATGGAGGAACATGTTTGGAGACTGTTCCAAGACCCCTGACTTCAGCCTCTTGTGTGTTTTGGAATGGGTTAGAGTTACAAAGATTTTTTGCTAAATATGGAGAAATTTTGCAAAATCTTGGAAAAGAAGCTGGATGTTAACACTTAGGCCTTTCTGTTAGTAAAATAGTGCTTAGCATTTATATATAACATTAAGGGCTTCACAGCCCTTCTCATTTCTCTGATTGGTTGTTATGAGATGTTGTGAGATCCCAGTATTGCTGCCAGGACTTGGAAATGGCAATATAATACCTAATAAGTTCATTGACAAAGCAAGGTTACAAGTGTGGACTTCCCAGTGTGTTCACCCTGCAATTATGATGTCTACCTGTTGTGGCAGGTAGAGACAAAATTTAATGAAAACATGTCAGATTTAAGACAATGCCCATGGCTGTACTGTTAAGAAGGATTTGTGGGGTTTAGGAAATTGTAGATACATTATTGATGGTATGTATTCATGTAAAATTTTCCTATCTACCAAATTTCACCTAGATTTCATTTAAGAAAAGTATTTTCATCAAGGTTTGGGAACTTTATGGAATATCACCTGGTATTAGTGAAAAGTTTGTGAAAGATTTAGGATATGAATGGGAGTGTGTGTAACCTAGGAAAAAGGTTACAGTGGGGTCATATAGACAGTCAAGTATATGCCAAGATGGAGAATGTTTTTACCAATACAAGCATTTCAGCAGCAGAACATTCTATATTGAAGCAAGTGATTGTCTTATTAAAATAATGTAATTCTATATGCCACATCAGTTGAAGCAACATCCTGCACTGGTTTAGGCAACCTGTTCAGACCTGTGCTTCTCTGCCCTGCATTCCAGCTGCATCCCTCTAAGCATCTTAGCTGCTGTGAATCTGCAGTACAGTGTTATTGCCATGACGTTGGAGATGCAGGGACACTCCAGAGGTATTTTGCAGTTTACACAAGAAATTATTAATGGCCCTGTATCCTTCATTTCAATCTGAAAAAGAAACCCCAAGTTCTGCACTGCTGGTGGTAGAACTTGAACCCACCACCTGGTCTAGGTGAGTAATTTTTTTGCCGGGGTTACCACCCTTCAGCTTGGCACTGCAGGATACATCATACCAGGATCTGAAATATGATTTGAAGTGGACCTTGTAACTGTAGTTAATATTAAGTATGACTTTGCAAGGCCTATATGTGTAGGTATCCTGGCTTGCTCTATGGTGTTTCCCTTGCCTCAGTACAGATTTGGGACTGTTAGCCGAGTCTCTGTGAGGGAAAGAATGAAGACGCTGGTTTCATCATTTGTTGAGGCACACCAGCGTAAGAACAGCATGATCACATGCAAGCTGAATCCTGCTTCTGCAAAATGAGCATTGTTACAATAAACTCTGGTTTTACATTGTCTGAACAGAGGCAGGAAGAAACTTGTGTTGATGTGGAAATAAATTCTGAAGCTCTGGGATACTGGAATAAACACTTAGGTATCTGTGATGCTGGAATGCAAACACCTTTTGAACAACACTTGTGTAGGCTTCTATTCTGAATGTGAAGTGGGACAAACACAATTCATATTGGTGTAAGTTGAGAGAACTGTACAGTCTTGATCAGTGCATTGTGTAGACTGTTTCCTTACAAATCACATACTGATTCTGTGCTTGGTGTTTTGGGTTTGTTTGTTTTTTAAAAAATTATTCAGTGACTGTATGTACACAATACAAATTAATCAAATTGTGTGTGTGCTTATTTCACCCGTCTGCTTTTGTAAGTCATAAGTGTGATCAAAGGGCTGTGCATGAATTAACTCAGTTTGCTGAATTCTGTAGCAGAGCCATATTCTGCTCGTCTTCTGCTCATGTTGTGCTCAGCCGAAATACTGTGTAGTTGAGAATAGCTTGGTTAACCATGATGACCCTTTTCTCTTTGTGGCCCTTTGTGTTTCCAGAAAGTGACAAAATTTGCGACTTAGGTTAAGTAACTTATATAGCTGCATTTTATTTCCACTAGTCTCTCTATAACCACTCTCATGTTTGTAGGAAATACAAGGCATCTCCGTCTTGCCATTCGCTCCATCTGGGAGTAGCAAAAGTGGGTACCAGCCAGATATTCTAGGCCTGTCTGCCTAATCACACCAAGGACTGAGATGAGGTTTTATTGTATTTTTTTTAAAAAAGAGAAAACAGGGTGAAATTAAATCATCCCCATTCCTCTACCTTACCCCATTGCACTCTGTTGCTTTAAACTTTTTTAATCCCCTCCCATATCTGATACCAGAAGAAAATCAGGCTGGAAGAAAAATGCTTTAGGCAACAGAATATGGCAAAGTGTAGCAGGAACATTGTGAAGCTGCCTTAAATTGAATCAGCCTATTGGTCCATTGAGGTCAGTATTGTCTATCCCAGCCGGCAGTGCTGTTTCAGGATCTCAGGTTTTGAGATCACCTACTACTTGATGCTCTTAAGTGGAGATGCCAGGGATTGAACCTGGGACCTTCTGTATGCAAAGCTGACTTCACTGCTGAGCCATGAGGGTTAGCTCTTTTCACCTGTGGACTTTTTTTTTTGGAATCTTTTTAAATTGACCTCATGCTTTCCACGAGAACAGGTAGACATATGAATGATGTGGATGTCAGTATTATGTCTAGGTTGGAAGAGGGAGGAGGGGTTCCTTGCCCAGTGGCCATATTAGACGCCCCCTCCCAGGATAGCGTAAGGGCAGAATTCTCTATACTACCTGGATATGCTGAATTCCTTATCATCTTGGAGAGGAGAGGAGGCAAACTGCAACTTTAGGGAAGGTGATAAAACCTCCCTTGTGACGAATGGTGCTGCCAAGCAAAGGTGAAGGTGTGTCATTTCATTGCCTCCATAGGACAGGGTTCTGCAGAATGGTGAGGGGACTGTCCTCTAGCTCTTTAAGACAGGGCTTGTCAAGGATGCTCTAGGCTGATCCTACATTGAGCAAGGGGTTGGACTAGATGACCTATATGGCCCTTTCCAACTCCGTGATTCTATGATACAGGGGGAATAAAGAGGAATAAAAAATAACACTTTGTTGTAAGTTTTGCAAACTAATGCCCACTTGTTCAAATGTGATGACTTGGATTTTCACTATGCAATTATTTTATGTGGGGGGCAATAAAAAATAAAAAGTCATTGCTATGGTAGCAGAGGTGAAAGAGGCGTTGGGGGCCGCTGCCTTCATCGTGTCCCACCAGCAGATCTAATGCTTGGACAGATATTTCAGTGAGAACTACGAGTACTGGCATGTAATTTTACCCAAGCGAACTGTCAAATCAAGTACCAAAAACTCATCTAATATGTCTGAGGAAGAATGGAGAAGACGTGGTGCACAGAGGAGTCTTGGCTGAGCCAGAACCACGCACAGTTTCCTTTTTAGAAGACCACTTCCAAAAGGCCAGCAGAAATGAATAACTTCTAGAAACTTCTTTGAAATCTTCTGGAACTTTATGTATGTGGATGTATAGATGTTGGTAGTATTCAGTGACTACCTGAAGGGTACAGAAGTAATTACCTGTGCATGAGCTGTATTAGTCACAGCAACAGAGCTCAGTAAAATGCAAAGTAAGCTGCTATGGTTTGTACCGTTAAGTGCCTATTTGATTGTCCATTGTGTTCAATGAAACTTATGAATTACACAGACTTTGTTGACTAGGTTCTCAAATATTCAAGACTAGATTCTCAGATGTTCAGAGATCTAGTGCTTTTATTCTTTCTATAGCAATTGAAGCGATTGTTTGGCTTTTGAACTGTTGGAATAAGGCTGATGAAACAAAACCTGTTTAGTGCTTAAAAATTAAAATAAAAAGCAGGGCTAAGAAGCCATGCAGTACAGGTACTAAAGGGTAAAATGTAACTAAAATTCAGTTCTAATCTACAAACTACAGAAACCACTCTTTGGTCCTTTTCGTACTCGGATCTCATCCCTGGTTTTATCAGAGTTCAACTCGCGACGCAATACCTTGCATTTATCCCTGGTTATAACAGCATCCGTTTATCCCGGGACAAGTGTGTGATGAAACCGGGGTGAACTCAATGTCATGTGCAAACAAAAAATACCCCGAGATAATTACAGGGGTGAACTCAAATGTAGTGTAGACTGTAAGTTCAGGGAGAGGGTTGAACCAGGGGTTAAAAGTATAGTGCAGAATCACCCATAGTTAGTGCTTAGCTAGTTAGTATCTGTAATGGGTGCTGACTCCCAGGTTTTGCTAAGGAAACCTCTTAAGGAGTTCCCATTCAAGGAGATCTCTGCTCCCTCCTTCCCAGGCAAACTTGGGAAATTTTTTTTGCTCATTACAGGTAGTTTTTTGGCACCCATTACAGATATTAACTGGTTAAGCATAACTATGAATGGTCTTGAGTCCCCCAGTTAGATTTGACTTTTACATAATTTGACCTTGTACATTGCACTGGCCACTTGACCATGGTGTCTGTTTTTTTTATAGCCCTACATAAAATGACTGCAGAGTGAGGGAGCCACTTGTTGCATCTGGAGACATAGGCGGTAACCCATAAATAAAAAGTATGCTGGGATAAAAATTTGTTGTGTGTTTGTAGTGAAGAAAAGACTTCATTTTTTGCTCCATCAGGCTAAAATGGCTACCCCTCTGAAATTGATACAGGGTGGAGTGGGGACATGTTTCCAGAGGGCTAATGATTTATCATCTTTTTGACTTAAACCTTCATTCAATGTTTCCAGGAAACTATTAAAATGCTGATGCTGAACTGCTGTTGAAGACGTACAGTGACCAGTTAGCTTCCGAGGAATATAGCGGTAAAGGATGATGGATCCAGTGCTGTTACAGGTACCCTTCTCTTCCTCTTTTGCCATACACAATTTTTTAAAAGGCTGGATTTCTCCGAATTGTTTGGCTCCTTTAGAGTGCTTCCCCCACTGCTTAGAAACAGTGTAATTGTTCTTAAACCAGATACCCATTGGCTTATTCTTGATGCTGCTCTTTAGTCATATTCAGGGGTCTTGTTGTAGAAAAAGAGCTGCCGGAGCTCATTAGCATAACTCATTAGCATAACTTATTTGCATATGCCACGCCCCCTGACATCACCGGAAGTGACAGAAGGCCACACCCCCTGACATCACCGGAAGTGTGTCAGAAGGCCCGGCTACTTACCCTCCTACTTCATCCTCATTCCCAAACGGAATGAGGATCGAAGCAGAGGGCGGGGTAAAGAAGGGGGCGGGGCTTCACCACGTGACCGCCCCGCCCCCTAGAGGTTCTCTTCCGGAGCTCCGTACCTGAGAGCTCCCCCCCGACTAGAGCCCTGGTCATATTGCTTTAAATGAGAAGTGGAAACATTTTATGACTTGATACACTGCTGACTTGCAGTTGTTGCTTTTGAGATCTTTAAGTTGGAAATCATTGTTGATTTGTGGTTTTCCCGTTACATAGTAGATGTATGTCAACAAAGGGTGCCCACAAAATAATGGCATTCTTTCCTGTCTATACAACTTACATTGCAGTTTTTAGTTGCAGTGTCAAAGGTGAAGTGAGTCAGAACATCCCGACCCACATTAGCTACAGAAAACTCACTCCCAGTGCTATTTCCCATGGAAGCAAAAGTTTACTCATGCAAAGTCAGGCAGGTGGAGGCAGAAAAGACAGGGACTGTGGAAAATACTCTCCCCTTTACAAAACAAATGGGGTTAACAACGTCTCTGAGCTGTCAGGGGTAGTGTTGTATAGTGGTTATAATGACTCATTAAGATCAAGGAGAATACGAATAAAATGTTCTGGTTAAAAAAAAAAAAAAGATCAAGGAGACCCACACTGGAGTCTCCACTCTGCCACTGAAGGTTGCTGGCTGACCTTGGGCCAGTCACACACTCTGAAATGTCACAGGGTTGTTGTGACGATTAAAATGAAGAGAGGAGAATTATGTAAAGCTCTCGGGTCTCCACTGAGTAGAACGGTGTAAGGTGTGACATTTGTTTGGCTATAGCTCACAAAAAAGGATGATTACCTTGCTGTGGCTTCATCAGATACTGCAGCAGCTCTTTTGGAAAGAGGCAGAACTGCTTGTTCAGCATTCAGACAACTATTAAATATTGTGAATGCAGCAACCTCTATGGGGCTGGTGAGTGAAGCAAGCAGGGAGAAGCCCCTGGTGTATAAGCTTTCCCATTTTAAAGACATCTCTCCCTTATTATAAAAGAGTTTTGGGTGCCAGAATTCTAAAATTGGCCCCTTTAGTGTTAGGCCGAAAAAACTGCCACTCGGAAGACACTGGCTGGGTTCATTGGCTGCTTTGTGCAGTCCCGGCCAGCGTTCCAAGGTCATTTACATATGGAAGCTGATTGGACTACACTCCATTCCACACCTCAAACTCACCCCCCCACAAGGCAGTTGGAATTTTCAGTTGGGAATGATGTCAGCTGCTCCCTAGGCAGAGGCTGTGTGTGTGTGTGTGGGGGGG